CAGCCAGGGCTAGAGGAGGTTGTTTTTCGTTGCCGTGGCAAAAATCTGTTTTTTTCTGATGACATTCCCAAGGCGATACGTGAGGCTCAGCTTATCTTTATATCTGTAAATACACCTACGAAGACATACGGCAAGGGAAAAGTAAGTGAGAAATGTGGCTGTTTCGATAACAGTTCTTATCTGTCATCAATCAAGAGAAGTAATCGCTTTTTGGCGAGACTGAACAGTTTATTATTTTCTAGGGTATGGCACCAGATCTGAAATATGTAGAGTCTGTATCTCGTGCTATTGCCGAACATGCTGGAGGTTCCAAAATAGTAGTTGAGAAAAGTACAGTTCCTGTGAAAGCTGCGGGAAGCATTATAGCTATATTGAAGGAGGCTCAAAAGGTTAATCCGGCGTTATCTTTTCAGGTAGATTTTGTTTTGAACCCTTCTTTTGAAAAATTCTCATGTTTCCTAACTGTGTGTTTAGAATCTCAAGATTTTTTTTAGGTTTTATCTAATCCTGAATTTTTGTCTGAGGGTACTGCTATGAACGATCTTGCTAATCCAGACAGGGTCCTCATTGGAGGGGATTCGTCCGATGAAGGCGTTGCTGCCATTGCTCATTTAGTCAGAGTGTATGAGCACTGGGTTCCTCGTGAGAGGATTATTGTTACTAATACGTGGTCGTCAGAGCTGTCTAAATTGGTCTGTTTGAGTAGCCGTGTTGTGTTCAGTATTTATTATTTGTTTTATATTATTCCTTCATCGTAAACTTGTCTTTAATCTCACCAGTTGTTTTGGTCTTCTGATTACGAGTAAAGATCTGAATGTAAAGCGTGAAAGCTCATCATTTTTTTTTTTTGAATGTTCTGATTTAAAGCTTCAAGCAAATGCACATATACATGACATAATAAGGTGCGTTTTGTCCTTTTTTTTTTCTGTTAATGACGAGGTTTTTTAGGCTGCAAACGCTTTCCTTGCACAACGTATTTCGAGCATCAATGCAATTTCAGCTATATGTGAGGTTACTGGAGCTGATGTTCGTGAGGTTGCGCATGCTGTCGGCTATGATAATCGTATAGGAAATAAATTTTTACACGCGAGCGTTGGTAAGCCTCTTCATTTATATTCAACTTAACCAAACAAGAAAAAATTGATGTTTACAAGATATTTTTATTAGAACGATTTATTCGGAGTACATCAGTTCACTTTTTAAGGCTTCGGTGGTAGCTGTTTTCAGAAGGATGTACTGAGTTTGGTATATTTAGCAGAATCTTTAAATTTGCAGCAAGTTGCTGATTATTGGCACGGGGTACGGCTTTGAGACTATTGTTATGTCACTATTTTCTACTTTTTAAGCATCTGAATCTCCTACTGAATAACATCTTTTTACCGTTTGAAGTTTTATTCTTCTAGGTGCTGGAAATTAATCGCTACCAAAGACAGCGGTTTGTCGACAAGATTATTTCTGGATTGTTCAATACTGTCACCGATAAAATTATTACTCTTTTCGGTTTTGCATACAAGAAGAATACCGCTGATACTCGGTAATGGACTGGAAATAAGCGTTTTTTTATTTTTCGTTTATTCCTAATAGGAATTTTGTAAGGTTGGGTATTTTTTTCTCATAATGGCAACTTTTGTACATGTAGTTTTTTAGCGACTCATCTGCTATCTACATTAGTAAGTTCTTGTTAGAGGACGGAGCTAAGCTTGTGATATATGATCCAAAGGTTCCTGAAACGCAAGTTCGACGTGAACTCTGTTTAGTCACTTCAAAAGAAACAGGTAAATTACGCGGCTCCTTATCTGTTCCAGCTCAAGTGTTCTTTCTTGTTACATTGCATATTTACTCTAATTTGAGGCCTTTTTAAATTATATTTTGGTGAAATCACATTTGGTTATTCTATGTTGCCTTTAATCTGGAAATTACAGTTGACAAGCTTGTTGTTGTTTCTCACGACCCTTACGAGGCTGCTGCGAAGTCTCACGCCATCGTAGTAATAACGGAATGGGATGAATTCAAGGCAAGTTTTTGATGTGGTGTAATATAGATTTGAACAAAGTACACTTTTGAACTAAAAAATTTTTTGAAACATCTGTAATTCATAAATTATTCAGGGTTAGTTGTGAAGATTTTTACTGTAATACTAAAACAACAATTAGCACTTTTTGTAATTAAACGTCTGATTTGTCTTTTGACGCTTATCCAAACGACTATGATTAGTTGATTTGTTTTAGGCAGGAAGGATTTTATGAAATTTTGGGTAGTATCAAATTCCATTTTGAAACGATATTTCTTTTGCTATTATGCAATTTTAGAAACTTGATTATGAGCGATTGTACGCCTCTATGGTCCACCCAGCGTCAATTTTTGATGGTCGCCTAATTCTGGATCAGAAACGCCTGCGCGAAATCGGTTTTCAAGTTTTTGCTATTGGTTCCGCGCCTTCTTTCCCTTAAACCAGTTATTGAACTCTTTTTAATAAATTATAATTTTTTAAACTTTTGTCATTTTTTTTTGAGCTCTCATATTTGTTCACAGTTGCCTTCCACTAAAGTTGGATTTTTTCTCTTGTAATGCCGTCGTGCTGTTCCATGTTACTTTTTTTTTTTGTTGCCGTTATTTTTCAACCATTATGTAGGGATTTATTTTTTGGTTGAAACTATGCCATGTGTTTTTGCATTGTTTAGTAATGATTGGTGTTTAAGCTTTTGTCTAACAGTGTGGATTCTTATCCTTTACATGAAATGAACATTATATGTTGTTTTAAGTTGTCTTCTGAAATTGTATTTGCAGAACATTGTTTCTTCTGTGATATTCTGTAATTTGTCATCGCCGTTTTGTAAAATTGTTTTCCTCCTTTGCAGTTTAATATATCTTTTGTGTCAGTTTTCTGAAGTGCTCTTTTTGTTTATCGAATAATTCTTCCACTTCTTACACTTATGTTTCCCCGCTTCATTCCAGTTTGTTGTTATGTAATGGCATTTATTTATTAATTTAATTCAATAAAATTATAACATCGATAGGAATAATTGTTGTATAAAGTATTGGTGAAAAAAATGTAGTGCATTGTAACTTTTAACCATTTCGGTTTTTGTAATTAAATGATGTTCAGTTTTTTGCGCAATATTCACTCTATTTGTGTAATATTTATATGTGATTTTACATTTGCAATGTCAGTATTGCGAAGCATGGTGGCATGAAAATTTTGTAATCACTTAGTGGTACTATGAAGCAGCAAAGTGTAAACAGTTTTGAGGTAACAGTGGTTCCTTCAAAGATAATACATGAGTTGAATTGATGGTCATTTAAAACCAAGCGTGTGTCAAATGACTGTGGTATGAAACTAGCGGTTAGGGTGGCAGTTTTTTTTTTTGTTTTTATTCGCAGAATAAGGTCGAATAGTTTTTGTTTGGTAGCTTTTACAAAGGCTTCTAGACAGCTGCTGAGTTGCTTATTTGGCTTTCTGGTGCTCTTATTTTCCAGTTACTTTCTTTTTTACCGCTATTAGCTTCGTTTTCTAAAACTACCCGTGTTTTTTCTTTAAATGGTTTTTTTTCTTCAACTACTAAAACGTTTCCATTTTGATAACTTAATAACATTGTTTAACTTCTGAAACAAAAAAAGGTAGACAAAAGAACGTCTATTAAGATATATTTTAATGGTGATAATCGATCGTTGGAGCAGTTTTGGAGTATAGTTTTCTTGCTGAAAAGTTCTACTGTACCGGGAATATTTCCCAGACTTTGCTCTATTAAACTTTAAATCTTCTGTCTGAGCTAGTCAGATATAGTGCGTGTGGAAGGGATAAGAGAGGGGAGAGGGTTGGGGGCCGGTCAAGCTACTAAAGAACATCTGAAAATCGTTTTCATTGTCCTAAAAATTTATCTCTTTGAAGATTGTGAAGAGGTGTTGCCGGCATTGGAAATTACTTTTTTTTTAATGTACAGAAAGAATAAGTGGTAAAGAAACATATACGGAGATCTGTGACTGAATCTAGTAACTTTTTCACTTCCTTTTTTTTTTCGAATCATTATTTCTTGAACTGTCAGTTGTTTCGTTGAAGAAAGGTTTGACGGAAATGAGAGGGGTAGTAGGAAGCAAAATGGGAACAGTTTGAAACTATGATCGATTGCTTTTTGTACAGTTTTTTGGTGATTTATATTATCAGAATGTGGAATCTAAAAAAAAAAATTATTTGATACGAATAATGAAATTTTTTTTATTTCCGATGGTTAAATAGTGCAGTTCTCTGAGCTGAACATTGCTAAAGTTTATTTGCTGTTTCTGAGTAGCTTTTATTTTTTAATTAATGTTTCATTTTTTCCGTTATTGTTTCTCCTTTTTTTTTTTTTTTTTTTTTTTTTTTTTT